TAGCGTAGCGAGGGGGGAGGGGGGGGGGGGCGGGGGGACATATGTCCCCCGGGCGCCGAGCTTAGGGGGCGCCAAAATGGGTTGGAAAAATAAATTGAAAGGTTGAGGGGGGGTGCAAATTGAAAGTTTAAGGGGGGGGTGCAAATCGAAAAGTTTGTCCCCGGGCGCCGGGTAGGGTCGCTACGCCTCTGCAGACCAGCAACTGCGAACACGAACTCACGTCTGTTGATTTATCAACTTGAAAAGCAAATAATGGTGAAAGCTTAATTTCGATAAAAATGTGTTATTTAACATTTACGTACATGCAGCGTTTGATGAGATTCTCCTATTGTTTTTTACTTTCTCGTATATACGAAGTATAGAGAACCGGTGCGGCACATCATGGTATTACCCCCCCCCCCCCCCCCCCCACCAAATAAAATTTAATAATTGGCTATATATATATATATATATATATATATATATATATATATATATATATATATATATATATATATATATATATATATATATATCGTTGCAATTGGCGTCACCCCGTCCCTCCTGTTTTGCCAAAAGGCGTGAATTTGTGAACAAATTATTTTAATTCAACCGAAACAAAGCAACGTTTCATGGTTTTCTCTATAGTTATCAGGTTTACGTCATGGTGCACCCTCCCCCACCCACCCCCACCCCCTCCTCTTTTGGGATCGTCAATTTAAAGACTTGAACTCTTATTATTAATCAGTTATTAAACTGACAAAAAAGCATTTTTTCTAATATATTTTGCTATTATTTGTCTTGATGCCACCCCCCCCCCCCCCATTGGTGTCACTCGGTGCGATCAGCACCCCGCCCCTACCTAGCGACGCCTCTGAATAGATTTATTCATTTTCACTGCAGCTTACAAAATAAAATTAAATATATAAAATTGCTAAACACTCAGGAGATCTGTAGGCTTCTCTTATATCATGTACACTTCTATTATAGCATATACACTTCTTTTATATCGTGTGCAGTTATCTTATATCATGTTACAGTTATCTTATATTATGTACATTTTTCTTACAGCATACAAACCTCATTACACTTCTCTTATGTGATGTACGGCATAATTAGCCACCCTTCTCCCCCCCCCCCAAACAAAAACAACAATCTTAGCAATATACGTATAATGAAGCCCTTGTTTTGAGCTGTACACATTAAAACTATGGAAAGAATTTTTTATCTCACAAATTTTCTCATCAATATTTCTACTCGTTTACAGTGCCAGTGGCGTAGATACTGGAGAGTGGGTGGGGCAGCCGTCCCGGGCGCCGACCCTAAGTTGGCGCCAAAAGGAGTAGAAAACTATTGAAAAGCCATTTTAAGCTGAAGTATTGAATTCTACACAGTCAAAAAACTAGCAAAAACTAGTGACTGGTAAAAAGCACCACCAACCTTTTTAACTGGGGGGGGGGGGGGGCTTTTTTAATAACCTGAATAAATATCATATAAATGGGAGGGGACACAATATTGGTAGTTAGTCACGGGCGCCGGAAGGGGTCGCTACGCCTCTGTACAATAACGCCGAGTCTTATGTGAATGTCATCGATCTCATACGTCTTACTACGACCAATAAAACTATAGATCTATAATAAAATACTAAATAGAAAACAACACACAGAACGTATAAGGTATTTTTTTTCAATTATTTACATCAATATTTAGAATTTTATAATACAGAAGAATGGCTTGACTAAAAACGACTGTGCACCAAAATAAACACAAAAAAATGTGCGTATTATAGCGCAGAAAATACTTTATAAATGAAATTGTGATGTCAGAATGGTTTTGTCATCGGACCCTAACCTACAAGCCCAGTTTGAAAGAAATAAGTATGTTAGAAGGCAGTGGCGTAGGCAGGGGGGGGGTTAGGGGGGGTCATAACCCCCCCCCCATAGACCCCTCGGTATATAGAAAAAGTTTGAGGGGGGGTGCAAATCGAAACTTTGAGGGGGGGGGGTGCAAATAGAAAGTTTGAGGGGGGGGTGCAAATCGAAAGTTTGAGGGGGGGGGGGTGCAAATCGAAAGTTTGTCCCCGGGTAGAAATTGGACCCCCCCCCCCCTTGAGACGATCCTGGCTACGCCACTGTTAGAAGGGATCCAAATTTCGCGCGCTTGTTTCGACCCATGACGAAGCTCAACAAAAGCACGAGGAAGTCAGTTAAATAAAATCTCAGGAAAAGTAAGAAAATGCCGAAACAAAAAAAAACTAATACGGTAGAAAAAAAAACCTCCGAAACTCAGAACTTGTGAAAGTGAATAAAAAAAACTATAAAAATTTGCGAATACATGTGTTTATTAATCAAAGAATGTTAATGTTCCCGCACAACGCAAAGTTCCTTTGACTACCTTAATATAACAAACACACACGTATGGATGCACATATAATTAGCCTTACAGAATACAACATGGTTGTGCATTCTTGATTTTGAATCAACTCAGAGGATAAATTGACCAAAGAAACATAACTAAGAATAGACTAAAATAAATAAATTGATTCCATGCTGTTTCACTATTATGTATTTTTACAACATATAAAATATATTGCCATGATAGATAAATAAATACAAAAATAAATAACTGATAAATGCACATCACATATAGATCTAGCATTGATTATTCTCAACAGAGGAAAATTAAGTTTATTTAAATCGAAGTTAGTTAAAACCATAATATATATTGTAAAAAATAAATAAGATAATGAAAATAATGTCAAATTACCTTAAAAAACCATCACTTTCAACCAGGCTACAGATATAGACGAAAAAAATGCACCGCAAAAAATTATTTTGTAAAAAGCAACATCAATATTTGTTTAATTTGATGATGAGAATCTAGATGGTGCTCACAATCGATTCATAAGTGGTCAGATAAATATTAGGCCAAACGTTCAACTATTTTAACTAGAGGCCGCAACAGATGTCTCCACATTACGTGAGGCAGTTTGGCACTCAATCTCCCTTGTGGCACTAAACTTTGTCCTGTCCTTACTGACAACAATCTGCATGTAACCTGCCTAATTTAGTGAAAGATAATCAGTAAAAAAGCGGACTTACATGGATAACATAGTAGTTAAAGGAGGAATATATGCAGTAGCTTCCTAGAGTCAACAGTTAAAGGAGTAGATGAAGTAGCTTCCTAGAGTCAGCAGTTAAAGGAATATATGCAGTAGCTTCCTAGAGTCAACAGTTAAGGGAGCATATGTAGTAGCTTCCTAGAGTCAGCAGTTAAAGGAATCGATATAGTAGCTTTAGAGTAAGTAATTAAAGAAATAGATGTAGTAACTTACTTGAGTCAGTACTGAGTAGTTAAAGGAATCCATGCAGTAACTTAATAGTTAAATGAATACATAAAGTAACTTAGTACTTAAAGGAGTAGGCTACATGAAGTAGCTTTAGAGTCAGTAATTAAGGGAATAGATGTAGTCACTTACCACAATAGTGCGATGAACATCTCTAAAACATGCTTTCCAATGTCCTCTGCCTTTGTTGGCCCTAAATTTCACAGAATCTGTTGCCAGCCCATTTAACATTTCACGAAGACTTGCTTTATCCTCCATCTCTTTACAGTCCTAAAACAATGATTTATATATATATATATATATATATATATATATATATATATATATATATATATATATATATATATATATATATATATATAAGCCCTACAGCTCTCTATATGGCCAGAAAAAAACTACCTTATCAGAACCTCCAGCCAGCTCATAAAGCATGACGATCGTCTCCCCAGCTGTGATGCGCAGCTCCTGGTCAGAACTCTTTAGTAACTCCTTCAGAGAACCCACGTGACTAGATAAACCAATGGCAATGGTTGTAGCAAGTGTACAAATAGCGAAGTTCAACAACATAGCACACGTTTAAAACACACAGGAAGTTAAAACTGAGCCGAAACCTTTTTCAACGTAGCTACCTTGCTAGTCCAGAAGCTTATCTAGACAAGAAACTTATTTAGCTTAGGTACCAGAAAACTTTTCTGGCCAATAACCGTATTACGTCATCATCTTTTCCCGTTCGTGCACAAGACACAAGGAGTAGATGAATTAGAGTTAGCCTCTACCATTTTTGCAGATACTTCGGGAAAGAATCCTTTTTAGACCTAGTGATCCTTTGGGAAGATGAAGTAGAGTTCATGTTTCTTAACCTCAGTATATGAAAAGAAGGTGTGGTCAGCACTATGCCCAGCCGCCTATGCTTTCCCTAACATGAGTTAGGTACTCATCAGAGCTGGGTGAACTCAGGGTCTTGAACCGGATGGCAGTATAGCTCTATAGGGCTGGGCCGTGCTGTCAAGTACCTGGCCCAGAAACTTATCCATCAAATAAACTTATCCAGCAAATAAACTTATACATCAAATAAACTTATCCATCGAACTTATCCATCAAATAAACTTATCCATCAAATAAACTTATCCATCAAATAAACTTATCCATCAAATAAACTTATCCATCAAATAAACTTATCCATCAAATAAACTTATCCATCAAATAAACTTATCCATCAAATAAACTTATCCATCGAATATACTTATCCATCGAATAAACTTATCCATCGAATAAACTTATCCATCAAATAAACGTATCCATCAAATAAACGTATCCATCAAATAAACTTATCCATCAAATAAACTTATCCATCAAATAAACTTATCCATCACAGAAAGTCACCCAGACTAGCTCGGAGATGCTAACTAGCCCAAAATATATAGCCTATCTTGCTCAGAACATTTTTGTTGTCAGAATTTCATCTAGCCTAGAACCTATCTAACACAAAACTTTCCTAACCTTGAAGCTTTTTGAGCACAGAAACTTATCTCGACCTAAAAGTTTTCTTGTCCAAAACGTATCTAGCCCTTAAATCGTTCTTACCCATAAACCTATCTAGCCCATAATATAGGCCTATATACTTTGTTAATTTTTTAAAAGAGAAATAACATTGTTCCTTTCACTACGTGTTCAATGAAATGAGAATACGGTTATTTTTTTTATTTAAAAAGAGATTTAATAGGATATAAAAGAAATACTTTTGTTAAACTTAATTTTTGTTGGCTGTAAATTATTTCTAAAACTGTGGTGATGATCGGCTCTGTGTGAGAAAAGATCTAATTTTTTTCTCACACAGAATTCCTGCTTTTGTCTTGGCTTGTCTTTCTTCTCTTAGCTCAATTTCCTCTTTTGTTGGCTCGCGGGGCTCAACTCCAGCAGCATAAATCATTTTCCTAATTTTATTGAGGCAATCTGCCTGATTCAACATCGGTTTCCGTGTCATGTCTGACTGCACCACCAGGAATCTTCCAGACTTCATATCTGCAAGTTTAGGTTTGATCCATTCTGGAATCCAATTAGCCGACGCATGGTGAAATCTTATTTCCACTTTACTATTTACTTTATTGACATTCTGTCCACCAGGACCAGAGGCGTAGCGAGGGGGGTGGGGGGGGGGGGGGGGGGGGGCGAGGAGGGACATATGTCCCCGGGCGCCGACCCAAGGGGGGGCGCCAAAAGGGTTGGAAATGCAAATTGAAAGTTTGAGGGGGGTGGAAATGAAAAGTTCGAGGAGGGTGGGGGTGCAAATCGAAAGTTTGTCCCCGGGCGCCGGGAAGGGTCGCTACGTCTCTGATCAGGACCACTGCTTCTTAATGGGGTTATTTGTAAATTTTCTATAGGGATGTAACCAGCCTTTTCCTGTTGTTGACTTTGACTCAAAGATTCTGTTCGTTCTAGCTTTTGCTGTTTGGGTATATTTTTTCTATATTCACTTCGCTTTTGTATTGTGCTGTCAATATTCTAACATGTGTCAAACACTTATGATATCACTGAAATGAAATATTATTGTTACAAAGTACATTCGCATAAATTCTAAAAATATTTAAGTTTCTCATTGTGATTTGAGTGCATTTTTAACGTACACGTATAGCACTTCTATTTATGAAAACCCATAAACTTTGAAAGTTCTGCCTAAGGTATTTTAGATAAGTTTGGAATCACACAATATTTAACTACAATACAAACCTAGACTACCGACACCATAGTGAACCTACTTGTTAATGTGGGCCTGGAGTTCATCTGGTGTACAGCTGGCCAGCAGAAGACACCAAGCCTTCAAGACGTGGCACATCACCCAGATCTGTTCTGGTGTTAAAGTGGGGGAGTTGTCTCCCTGTCCATTGCCTTGACTCAGCATGTCTTCCAATATTTTACTCACCGTTTTCACTTTCTGGTAAAGTGAGAAAGGCTGATCAACACACAAAAGATTATATACCAATTCAGCAGTATTTTAATGCACTTGACTACATATCTAAGCTAGTAACATTTAAAATGCAAGTGACAGAAATATTTTTTTTTAATTGGCAAACAACGTACACCAGTTTTAAATTGGTTTAATGAGGAAAAATCATCATCAATTCCTATTCGTGCTCAAGAAACATGGTAGATAAAGTAGAAATCACCTGTTTCAATGTCAGGGAACCATCAGAGTCAGGGAACCATCAGAGTCAGGGAACCATTAGAGTAAGGGAACCATCAAAGTCAGGGAACCCATCAAAGTCAGGGAACCATCAGAGTCAGGATCCCATCAAAGTCAGGGAACCATTAGAGTAAGGGAACCATCAAAGTCAGGGAACCCATCAAAGTCAGGGAACCATTAGAGTAAGGGAACCATCAAAGTCAGGGAACCTTTAGAGTAAGGGAACCATCAGAGTTAGGGAACCATTAGAGTCAGGGAACCCATCAAAGTCAGGGAACCATTAGAGTAAGGGAACCATCAAAGTCAGGGATCCATCAAAGTCAGGATCCCATCAAAGTCAGGGAACCCATCAAAGTCAGGGAACCATTAGAGTAAGGGAACCATCAGAGTAAGGGAACCATTAGAGTCAGGGAACCCATCAAAGTCAGGGAACCATTAGAGTCAGGGAACCCATCAAAGTCAGGGAACCATTAGAGTAAGGGAACCATCAGAGTCAGGGAACCATTAGAGTCAGGGAACCCATCAAAGTCAGGGAACCATTAGAGTAAGGGAACCATCAAAGTCAGGGAACCCATCAAAGTCAGGGAACCATCAGAGTCAGGATCCCATCAAAGTCAGGGAACCATTAGAGTAAGGGAACCATCAAAGTCAGGGAACCCATCAAAGTCAGGGAACCATTAGAGTAAGGGAACCATCAAAGTCAGGGAACCCATTAAAGTCAGGGAACCATCAGAGTCAGGGAACCATTAGAGTCAGGGAACCATCAAAGTCAGGGAACCATCAGGGTCAGGGAACCATTAGAGTAAGGGAACCCATCAGAGTCAGGGAACCATTAGAGTAAGGGAACCATCAGAGTTAGGGAACCATCAGAATCTGGGACGTACTTCAGTCGCGAGTCGAAACAGAAATACGAACTCGAGATCTTCAGCCGAAGGAAATTGGGGTAAATACGATGTGAAGACAGACATTTCCCAAAGTTTCAAATATGATATAAATCGTATGTCAAACGTTTGGCTAGTAAATAAAAGTAGAGGTATGGCTAAAAACAAAACAAGAAGTCAATTTGGAAAACTTTTCCATTCTGGGAACTACAATTCGTACCCGAACAACTAAACTTATTCCACGAAACTTCAAGTGGAAATTAGATGTAATAAAAGATTCCTGCAAAAAGTAATGAAACTAAAGTTACTTCTTGTTTTCAACGGTGAATAAATCATTAGCCTATATGTACATTTGTGATCGTCCGTAAGAAAATAACAAAACAAAGCATATATACAGATCGGGAAAACGTTTTCAGAATTGTTAGGAGCATGTTGTGTATTGGAACTTATCAGTGGGGACAGTACTTAAGTAAAAATTAAAAAGGTTAAAGTACATGTGTGTAAAAGGAAGTAAAGTTCCCCTTTCAAACTTGACGGTCTCAAGTAAAGTAGAGTTCACCTGTTTCTGCGCCCTAGGCATATGAAGAGATAGTGTGGTCAGAACTATGCCCAGCCGCCTTTACTCTCCCTAACATGAGTTAGGTACCCATCAGAGTTCTCTACCACTAGGCCACTCCATCCCGACACGTGAGTAAAAAGAAGAATGGAATACCTGCATGTCACTGGAACACAGGTAGCACCAGGTGGCCAGTGTCGTGGCACAGGCCGCGCGAGTCTTGTAGTGGGTGGAGCTGCCTGTCAACATGGTGGTGAGGTCCGGGTAAATCTTGTCAAACAGACTCGAACCCTCGGAGCGTAGCTGGTCAGCCATCAACCTCAGGCAATCGGCGGCCATCTCCGCCTCCTTCCCTTCTCGTTCTTGGAGAGTCTTCATCAGGCAATCATACAGGCTTTCTTTACTACAGGAGACAAGCCTGAAACGGTAGAGTCAAACGGTAGAGGCAAACGGTAGAGGCAAACCTAAAGTGGTAGAGGCAAACCTACAAACCTAAAATGGTAGAGGCAGACATTTTTTTTGTGTGGTACGAAACATAAAAATATATTTTTTAAATAAACGATTTTTTTTATTAGACTCGAGTAACCTTTATGCCTCGCCACAAACAATCACAGTTTGGGGCACCTAAGTAATGACACAAACAATCAAAGTTTGGGGCACCTAAGTAATGCCACAAACAATCAAAGTTTGGGGCACCTAAGTAATGACACAAACAATCAAAGTTTGGGGCACCTAAGTAATGACACAAACAATCAAAGTTTGGGGCACCTAAGCAATGACACAAACAATCAAAGTTTGGGGCACCTAAGCAATGACACAAACAGTCAAAGTTTGGGGCACCTAAGTAATGACACAAACAATCAAAGTTTGGGGCACCTAAGTAATGACACAAACAATCAAAGTTTGGGGCACCTAAGTAATGACACAAACAATCAAAGTTTGGGGCACCTAAGCAAGTAAATGACACAAACAGTCAAAGTTTGGGGCACCTAAGCAATGACACAAACAATCAAAGTTTGGGGCACCTAAGTAATGACACAAACAATCAAAGTTTGGGGCACCTAAGTAATGACACAAACAGTCAAAGTTTGGGGCACCTAAGTAATGACACAAACAATCAAAGTTTGGGGCACCTAAGTAATGACACAAACAATCAAAGTTTGGGGCACCTAAGCAATGACACAAACAAAACAAAGTTTGGGGCACCTAAGTAATGACACAAACAATCAAAGTTTGGGGCACCTAAGCAATGACACAAACAATCAAAGTTTGGGGCACCTAAGCAATGACACAAACAATCAAAGTTTGGGGCACCTAAGCAATGACACAAACAGTCAAAGTTTGGGGCACCTAAGTAATGACACAAACAATCAAAGTTTGGGGCACCTAAGTAATGACACAAACAATCAAAGTTTGGGGCACCTAAGCAATGACACAAACAATCAAAGTTTGGGGCACCTAAGTAATGACACAAACAATCAAAGTTTGGGGCACCTAAGTAATGACACAAACAATCAAAGTTTGGGGCACCTAAGTAATGACACAAACAATCAAAGTTTGGGGCACCTAAGTAATGACACAAACAATCAAAGTTTGGGGCACCTAAGTAATGCCACAAACAGTCAAAGTTTGGGGCACCTAAGTAATGACACAAACAATCAAAGTTTGGGGCACCTAAGTAATGATACAAACAATCAAAGTTTGGGGCACCTAAGCAAGTAAATGACACAAACAGTCAAAGTTTGGGGCACCTAAGCAATGACACAAACAATCAAAGTTTGGGGCACCTAAGCAATGACACAAACAATCAAAGTTTGGGGCACCTAAGTAATGACACAAACAATCAAAGTTTGGGGCACCTAAGTAATGACACAAACAATCAAAGTTTGGGGCACCTAAGCAATGACACAAACAATCAAAGTTTGGGGCACCTAAGTAATGACACAAACAGTCAAAGTTTGGAAGGACCCACGCAAGTAAATATCAAACAACTGAAATATCTTTTTAAAAAAAAACTAACCTTTCGATATTAAACATCCCCAAGTTTGCTTTACAATGACGAAACATGAACTTTCGAAAATCTTCACTGCAAATAAGTTGTAAATTTTATTTAAATACAAAAACAGAATTTTAATCAATGTTGGAAAGCACATTATTACATCCGAAAAACACGATAGACAAACATCTAAGAAAGCATTCGGGATGTATTAATATGCTTTTAAAACTCATATTTACAACTTGAATTAAATACTGAATAAATTGTACCAGAAGTATAATTATCAAATCTAACTTATCAATATGTTAACATGATTTTTAAATAAAATACTACAGCTTGAATTAAATACAGAATAGCTTTCCACCTGAACTATTGTTTTGTAATATACTTTTCAACAAAAGCTCAATGTGATGACGCTAGTTATAAATAGGTCAGAGGTCAAGCAGGCGAGATAGGTCAGGAAAAATTATTATAGGTAGGTCAGGTAGACATTGGTCACGTAGGGGGACCCAATAGCAGTAGATGACCGGTCACGCTAGACCGTCATCTGACCATTGACTTGTAGGCAGGCGTTAAAGAAGAGCAAGCTAATTTAGTGTTTGCGGTTAGACATGTTTAGGAAGCAGGGGCAGATAAATAATGTTAGGAGATAGCTGAGTCGCACTGAGATGGGACTGCAAGGCGCGCTTACAGCTTGTTTTCTAACGTCTCCAAGAAGAGAATTATATATATACGAGCCGACCCGCGGTGTATCATACGCCGCTATTAAGTTGTTTTTTCTACTTTTCAGTAATTCATAATTTGTGAATTCGACAGTGCCAATGCTGCCACTGAAAATATTTGCTTTAAAACACTAAACTCCCATTCCCCCCCCCCCCCCCCCCCCGTGAAAGCAGCCTCCTCTTAGTTACTCTCCTCTAAGTTTAAAACAGTTTCAAACTGAATTATCTGCCCCTAATAGCCGTCACCAAACTAAACATTTAGCGTGAACTACAACTCCCCTGACCAAGGGAGAAGGGGGGGGGTGGGTGGTGGTAGCGATCGAGAGGATGAGAGGGGACTGCAAGAGAATTATATATATAGATAGATTATAGCTTATCTTGAATTGGACTTGTGTTTGATTCCACACAATGCGCCAGGCACATATAAGAAGAGGCCATTGCCAAACGAGAGTGTATTATGTATACAACGTTACGGTGTACGAATATACATATATCCCAAAAAACTCACCCCTCCCACTCAAATACCTGTCTATTTGCAGCCATTCCAAACTTATGGGCATCTCACCAAGTGAGGAATCGGATGAATCTTCTCGCACTGTCGATAAGTAATTTAATTAGCAGTATTATCACGGTACAGCTATCTGAAATATACTTTTTTGTTTCTGTTTGTGTAGATGTATTTAAAGTTAAAACAATTTGGAGTAGAAATGTTATGGTGCGACATAATGACGTCACGGTCGATGTCTGAAAATATCTAATCAGTCCCACTCTTGAATAACGTTTTGGGGTATAAGAAGTTAAATAAATCATTTTCGGCTCTTAATTAATTAGGTACAAGTAATTTGTAATTTACTACATTTGGAATGAATTTTTAAAAGGAATCGTCTAATAACATTTAGGATACTTGTCTTAATTTTTCCTGTATTTTTCCGAGTAAAAACAGCACAACTAGAAGTTGAAGAAGAAAACTCAATTAGTTTAGCAAAGATTAAATGAAAGAACCTCCCTTCATTCAGATTTAATAATTAGATTTTTAAAATATTTGCTTAATTAATGAAATATTTTATAGAATTTCCTTTATTAAACACACTCTCTTTACTTAAAGATATACTTGTTTATATTTAATACATTAATATGTTTTATATTTAATATATTTAATATTTAATACATCTACTAGACATCTAATATTTTATATTTGATACAATTTTATATTTTATATTATATATTTTATAAACTCTGATTGTGTCGTTGGCACGAACGGGAAAATATAACGGTTAAACTAGTACTTAACTTGCAAATATTAACGTCATTTTCTACATCTAGATTTAGCCTCCATCTATGTAGATTGAATCTAGATCTAGATCTAGATCTAGATCTAGAATTAGAAGAGATCTAGTATAGATATTGGATCTATACCCCTAGGGACGATACAATGCCAGCTTACCAAAACCAACGCTGTTTTCCTTCTTTTCTTTTTCATCCTTTTCTTTTTCCTCCTTTTCTTTTTCCTTCTTTCCTTCTTCCTCCTTCCTATACCCCACCGCACTTTAGCCTTGAGAGCATATTGATGTGTGTGTGCTCACCACCATACAAACGAATTAGAGATGTAGGGGTCTCTTGACGCTTTCACCTAGTAACTGGAGTGACATTTGGGATGCGAAAATAATGTATTGGGAATTACCGATTTTGCACACCAAGCCGTGTCAGAAGGGAGGGGGTGAATTGGCGTGTCAGTGTAGTCAAATAGTAGCCAACAGTTCCTATATATATATATATATATATATATATATATATATATATATATATATATATATATATATATATATATATATATATATATATATATATATATATATGTGTGTGTGTGTGTGTGTGTGTGTGTGTAATTGTACTTTGTTTTACTGTTTTCTTTAATATTGTGTAATTCTACTGCTTGATACTGACTTTAATGATATATTGTTTTATTGTACTGTGTAATACTGACTTTAATGATATATTGTGTAATTCTACCGTGTTATACTGACTTCAATGATACATTGTATAAATTGTACTTTGTTATACTGACTTCAATAATATATTGTGTAATTGTACTTTGTTATACCGACTTCAATGATATATTGTGTAATTGTACTTTGTTATACTGACTTCAATGATATTTTGTGTAATTTTTCTTTGCTATACTGTGTTCAATGAAATGTTTGCATGTTTTTATTTTACTTATCTTACACCTAGTTGTAGCAACAAATCCATACAAAGAGTGAATTCATTGGTGGTAAAAATTAAAACCTGTTAAAGTGTAGAAAGAGATTATTTGGGAGAAAGGGCGAGGATCAATTATCGTTTAATAAGCCTAGATTTAAATTGTGGTTGTTCACCAAGAGGTAAGGGCACACAACCTGCTTTCGTTTACGTCCGACCCCCCCCCCCCCCCCCGTGGGTCAAGTTAAATGTTCCTAGCTCTGTTGTTGTATTTTTCTTGTTCGAATTTTTTTTTGTAATTATAGAAGCCAATTTGAACACCAAAACATGCAACCCTGCTATCAAAAAGAATTACATCCCCTTCTAGCATCAATAGTTACATTCCTTGTTAGCAACAATAGTTACATCTCAGCTAGTACAAACCGTCACATCCACTATTTGCACCAAGAATTACATTCTACTAGCACCAAGAATTACATCCCCTACTAGCACCAAGAATAACATCACCTACTAGCACCAAGAATTACATCCCTTAGTAGCACCAAGAATTAAATCCCTTAGTAGCACCAAGAATTTTATCCCCTATTAGCACCAAGAATTACATCCCCTTCTAGCACCAAGAATTACATCCCCTTCTAGCACCAAGAGTTACATCCCATTCTAGCACCAAGAATTACACCCCCTTCTAGCACCAAGAATTAAATCCCTTAGTAGCACCAAGAATTACATCGACTTTTAGCACCAAGAATTGCATCCCCTTCCAGCACCAAGAATTACATCCCCTTCTAACACCAATAATTACATCCCCTACTAGAGCTAAGAGTTACATATCTTCAACTAATAATCAGTAGTATCTATCGGTTCTAGATTGTCTAGAATGTCAGGTACATCTCAGTGTGTGTGGCTAAGTGGGCGTGTCGAGGACCAATCTTGTTAAGCACTACCTTCAATTTCTTTATGTGTGCTAACATTATGTTAGTTTTAATTATTAACTAAAGGGATACAATTAGTCAACACATTAATGTGTTACAAACAATACACCGCTTTAACACCTCCTAAATAAATATAATCGTTTTTATTTTCTAAGCTCACGTGACTTTGGCAAATCGTTTTTAAAATCTATTCCTGTAGTGGCTTAGAGATGGGGAATTGTTTGCCGAAAACGTTATTTAATACAATGGGGAAGTGTGGTCAGTGAAAATCTTATCTGTAGCATGGCGTAGGTTTTGTGACACGCAGACCCCAACACATTATACAACAATTTGATAACTAAATTTAACAAAATAAAAGCCAAATATCTAATACAGTAGTAACACAACGAAGAAACATAGAAAAGTAGGAAAAAAAAAACGAGGGAACAAAGAATGAGTGAGATTGTAAATAACGACAAAACTAGGAACTAGTAAGGTTGCAACGTAAGTAAGAAAACAATGGCGAAAAAAGTAACGGTATTGCGTTTATTGACTAGAGAAAATTTTCAGGTCCCACAACTACCCTAAGTTGTGTATGTTTTAGTACATTCACACACACACACATACAAATACACACAAGCACACACATACACGCACACTCACACACACATACACACACACACGCACGCACACTCACACAGACGCTCACACTAACAAACGCACCGATACGCAAAAACACACGCACACAGAGGCTCACACTGAGTACGTGCATCTGATTAGATCTAACCATGACACATCAAGGTTTGCACATAGTTAATTAAGTTTGTACTGATACACGGGAGACAATTCAACACAACTAGGATTTGTCTAAATTATAGTATTCATTGCGATTTGCGTCATTAAACATTTTTTAAAAAAATGAAATGCAGCGATGTAATAGCTGCATGCAGTGATGGTACTAAGAATAATCAATCGATTAGGGTATATCTAAACCGAAAATAAATATTAGATTCGGAACTAATTATAATCATGTTATAGAAAAATATTATTAAGTCAACCTTTAGGAAAGAAACTTCACACGCAATACAACTGGCTATTTTCAAGGGGAAAAAAAAAGTAAATTAGTTCTTTTGCTCAGTAAAATCATTAGGCGGGGATTACGTTATGATTTTACTTTTGCTTCTTGTGAAGACGACACAATAGATGGAACATTGATGTAATGACTGTATGCAGTGATGGTACTAAGAATAATCAAGTAATTGGGGCATATCTTAATAACCGAAAATAAATCTTGAATTCGGATCTAATTGAAATCATTACAGAGAAAAATGTCATTTGCTTAGCTAAATAATTAATTTGGTGTGACGTTATGATTTTACTTTTGCTTCTTGTGAAGACGACACAATAGATGGAACTTGGAAGCAATGTAGGCTATTCTCTAACGCGCTACAGATGGAATATGACGACACCCAGAGATCGACCTTAAGCCTCCGCTTTGAAACTGCTGAGATGATGCTGGCACTCTCTGCCCGTGATGGCGCACAAATTCGTCTTAGCTTTAAAAGCAGCAACCTCTAGCACGGCTGACTAAAAAAAAAACGAAAATTAAAAAAATCGTGAAAAAAAAATTAAAAACAGGGAGTGATCTCCCTTAAACTTTCTCGAATATTCTTATATAACACTACAATCCATTTGTAATTTCTTAAAACTTTATAAAATAGAATAGAATCTCGTAGATACAAAATTGCTCACCAATTTAACGGCAAACAATATTGTGTATAATAGTGCGGAATATTATTAGTACTTTATACATTTGCATGCGTTTTTTTTGAGAAATCGGAAATAGCGTAAATTACTACTTCCGGTCAACGGAAATTACTCAAAATTTTAAAGAAGGCAAAAAATCCGATCTTTTGCTTAAATGTAAAATTTCATTTATCTATTTCAAACAGTGCTAAAGTTATAGACTTTTGAAAAACTAAATGTAGAATTAGTCCCACTTCCAATTATTGGAAATCGCTAAAAATTGATATAGAACTACACATTTGATATAATACTTATATATGAAATTTCATCAAACTAGCTGTAACTGTACTCAAGTTATTGTGTTCACAGACACACATACATACACGGACTCAAGTGCAAAGTCCAGATTTTTCGCTACTCAATCATGCGTAAAACGCCGAAATTTTGATAAATCTGGATTAATAATTTTTGCCCCATCAAAATAAGTCCTCTATACTCCGTATATGATTAAGTACTGAGCTGTAAAGCGACTAAAACTGTCAAAATTTCATGTGATTTTTGTGCACGATTACAATATTTCCTTTATACGAGAAAGTACAAATTACGACACTAAATAACATTGTAGTTACAGGAATGGGTGTACTACCTTATACTGTGCACATCTCTAGATCGCGACTTACTACAAGACAGCAGTTAATATCATTATCTTTACTGTTAAACCATTTTTATTAAGGGGATAACATAAGGATATTTGATAAAAAGATTTAAAACACCGCTTTTTCGATCATTATTGAAGTCACCAATTTCACATTTTAGGAAAACTTTTATTTTTACCCTGTGTGGCTGACTTTATATTAAAATATGTATAAAAATGATTGAATAATCATAACCATTGCTCAGTTATTTGTCTTCTTATTTGTCTACTTTGAGATTGTGATTCGTGTGTTATCTACCCTTATGTGTCATACATCTATGGACATGTCTAAAATAGCTGCTTTTTTTAGTATCATGACCTATCTTCGTCTAAAAATAGCAATAGAAACAAAGACGCAACATAAATCAAAAGCTATTATTTACATTTCAAACAAGCACGATTCTATTGGTTGATATAAAAAAATAAAAATAACTTCGAGGCTGAAGAGTCAAAACTCACCACGACATTTCTGTAAACGTCCCTAAAGCTTGCCTTCTGGCGTCGTCTGCTGGTCTTGGCACGATGTCTGACAGACTCACTAGCAAGCTGCTTCAACTGTTGACAAAGCTTTGCTTCATTCTCCTCCTCGCTAAATTCCTACAGTAAAAACAAACGTGTAAAGTGTGAAGCGATGATTTCATCAAAAGACTCGTCCTTTTACTCTCAAGTACTGGCCAGATAAAAAATTACCTTTTTAGCCCCTTTAGACAGCTCATAAAGCAGGACGATCGTCTCTCCAGCTGCTATGCGCAGTTCTTCGTCAGAACTCTTCAACAACTCCTTCAGGGAACCCATATGCCTACAGAAGGACAAACAAAATATAAAATTCGACAACTTGGCACATTTGTAAAAAAAAAAATGCAAATGCAATGAACATCTCTGATATTATTCAAACAAAAAAAAGTTTTTTTTTTCCCAACTGGACGGTCCGTGGGGCAAGTGAAGTAGAGTTAACCTGTTTCTATTACCTCGGCATATTAAGAAATAGTGTGGCTATGCCCAGACAACTTTTACTTTCCATAACGTGAGTCAGGTACCCATCAAAGTGAAACAATGCCTACCCGAAAATGGTTCTACCACAGCGGCATTTTAAATGCAATAGTTTTAATTTTTTTATTTGAAATGTTTATATGTAATTAAACCCACTCTTTTGTAATTACATAGTAATTATATTTTGTTATTTGTAAGTACTCTGTGACTTTGTGCGCATATTGGCCTTCAGGCTTGTATTTAAAAAATGCACTATGAAAGTTTAAGTCAGTTAATTTTGAAATATCGCATTGAAAAGCATCAGTTTACCACACTCGCTTTAGTAGTGCAGATTTCATCATCGGTTTGTGAAGGCTGGTACAGATATATCATAGTAATAGTTCTTTCTGACAAGCACTTACATATTTTTAAATACATAAACCACATGATATTGGTAAGTGTATAACTGGCTTTTCGACTAATTGTTTTTCCAGACTTTTTTCTCGCGATGGGGGGGGGGGGGGCGGATATGAAGCGTTGGGGGAGGGGGCGGTAGATAAAAAGATGCCTGAAAGAAACAGTACTTAAAAGATTATTTAACTACATTACAAACCTATCTTCTAGACTACCAAGACCATAGTGAACCTACTTGTTGATGTGGGCCTGGATCTCATCTTGTGTACAACTGGTCAACAGAAGACACCAAGCCCTCAAGACGTCGCACATCAGCCAATTCTGTTGCGATATTACGTTCTGAGAGTTGTCTTCCTGCCCGCTACCGACTGGAGAGTTGTCTCCCTGTGCACTAGTGACTAGAGAGTTATCTCCCTGACCACAACCACGACTGAACATATCTTCCAGAATTGTACTCAGCTCTTGGAATTTCTTGAAGTGAAAAAAAAAGTTTAAGTAAAATTTTAAATAATAATTAACTTCTATTTCAAGGCAAAAATCCACAGAACTAACTAATAGCAATTAAAATTAAAGTGACACATCATAAAATCTACAATACGTCTCAGTACATTTACATGATATTTGAGATAATTGAAGACACAGATGTCCAATAACAGACTCTTCCAAAAATAAATATGTTAGGTTGTTAGTAGTATTGTTATCTCGACTAAATTTTATTGTTAAGAAATTAGGGTTAGGCGTAAGGTAAGACCAGGGTTGGGGGTTAAGGCTTGAAATAGGGTTACCATTGACGTTAAAATGCCAAGTGCGTATTTACTTAACTACCAGTTACCACCCGCCCCCTTCCCTTTTAATACGATTCTATTATCAGAAACTTTTCGTGGGTCGGCGTGGTCGAGCCGGTAAAGCTCATGGTTGCTAAACCAAAAAGTCTAGAGTTGGAACTCCAGGGACAACTCCAAATCAAACAACTGCTGCCTTTTTGTTAGTTCTTGGTTTAGACAAAGGCTATAAAAACAAATCCAAAAAGAAAAGCAGGCTGAAATCGGAGTCCATTGCCACAATAGCGCAGAACCAGTTGACACGTATTGTCTAAATTAAGGGAGCAAATTTTCCGTCAAATGATTAGCAAGTAAACAAAACAGCAAAGGTGAAAAAAAAATGTTTTTCAATTAAGAGACTCAGTACGTAAGAAAAATATTGAACACTAATAATCAAGTTATTTACGGGATATTTCAAGTAGAATTTAGATATGCCAAAAGAAATATTTTGTTATAAGGGTCCAGCAACCCCCCCCCCCCCCGAAGAAAGTCTACCGCCCCCCCCCCCCCGCCCCCCTACCAAACGAAATTGAATTTATATAAAAAAAACATATACTTTTACCAGTGTCCCCTCTCCCCTCCCCCCCCCCCCCCCACCGAAAATATCAAGTGTACCCCGGAAAAAAAAAGTCTGGAAAAAAATGGAATCTTTTAGTCTGGTATCGTAGTAGTGAATAGATAATTTTTCTGTGAACCAATGGTCATTAGAAACATAGAGCAAACATCTACAAATGAGTTTCATAGAAGTGTCGACTCGTATGAGGAAAAAAGCTTGGTATGTCCTAGACCCATATAAGCAAAAAAAAGAGGTAACACAACACCTGTATAAAGAGGCATGGAATACCTGCAGGTCACTGGAACACAGGTAGCACCAGGTGGCCAGTGTCGTGGCACAGGCCGCGCGAGTCTTGTAGTGGGTGGTGCCGTCTGTCAACAGGGGGGTCAGCTCAGGGTCAATCTTCTTCCGAAACAGACTCGAACCCTCGGCACGAAGCTCTACCGCCAGCAGCCTCAGACAATCTGCGGCCAGGTCCCGCTCTTTTCCGATTTGTTCCTTCAGACACTTCAGCAGGCTTTTGCTGAGTCCTCCCTTAGTGCAATCTTCAAAACTAACAGGTACAGACACAGCAAAAACATAATTTCATGACTAATGTGTCCGACACAGCAATAAATTCATGCCTTTTTTGTCGGACACATTTGTCCCTTAATATTTTGTCCGTGAGATCTTTTCTGTCGTGGTTATTTTGCTTGAGATCATTTGTCCCCTCGCCAATTATTAAGTCATATTTAATGTCTCATTGAGCCTTGACACATGTGCCAAGTTTGATATAAATCGGTCGGCGAGAAGTGGTCGAAATTACGCTAGCCAGTTTCGACTCATGACGAAGCACGACCGTTGAAGCAAATAAAGCACAATGTATCTGTCTTACCAATCAGACCCAGATAAAACAACGATGTACTTAAGACACAACTAAAACATCTGCGTTTACACTAACCTTTTAAATCCCTGCACCTGAAGCCTCCTTTTAATTATTCGCAGCAGATTAATGCGAAAAATATCACTGTAAAACACGTTGTACATTTTGTAAAATATCCAAAAAAGAAACAGCTGTATATACATCCATATATATATATATATATATATATATATATATATATATATATATATATATATATATATATATATATATATATATATATATATATATATATATGGCTACAGGACATTACCCCCCTGGATATTTCCCTCCCGGACATTTCCCCCCCCGTATTTACCCCCGGAGCAATTACCCCCCTGTCAATTACCCCCCTGTCAATTACCCCCCCCCCCCCCCTTCTCAAGTTACAATCCTAACTCTAACTAGAATTTTATACCTATATACTACTTTAATCCAAACCTTAAGAAAAAGACCAAAACCTAAGCATCCACCTTAGCCTAAAACTTCACACAAAACCAAAACCAAAGCTAGACACAACCCTAACCCTAAAACTAGCTCTAACCCTAACCCTAGCCCTAACCCTTACCCTAACCCTAGCCCTAGCCCTAGCCCTAGCCCTAGCCCTAGCCCTAGCCCTAGCCCTAGCACTAGCCCTAGCCCTAGCCCTAAACCTAACCCTAACCCTAGCCCTAGCCCTAACCCTAACCATAACCCCAATCCTAGCCCTAGCCCTAGCCCTAACCCTAACCTTAACCCTAACCCTAGCCCTAACCCTAGCGCTAACCCTAACCCTAACCCTAACCCTAACCCAAACCCTAACCCTAACCCTAACCCTAACCCTAACCCTAACCCTAACCCTAACCCTAACCCTAACCCTAACCCTAACCCTAACCCTAACCCTAGCCCTAGCCCTAGCCCTAGCCCTAGCCCTAACCCTGTCCCGGGGGGGTGGTAATGTCCTACTGGGCGGGGGGTAATTGACAGGGGGGTAATTGACAGGGGGGGGGGGGGGTAATTACTCTGGGGGGTAATGTCGGGGGGGGGGGGGGAAATATCCGGGGGGTAATTGACAGGGGGGAAATGCCCTGTTCCCATATATATATATATATATATATATATATATATATATATATATATATATATATATATATATATATATATATATATATATACATTTACACAATGCTATTTAGCGTAAATCTCTACGAAATGTTAACCATTTCAATGTACAAAAAATTATGGTTAAAATATATCGCAAAGTAAAATTGTAAGTAAATTACAAAAACCACACAACAGGCTAAACGTACATATTTGTTCAATAAACTTCACATTTCAAAATTCAAACTACTTACTACGAGTGCCATAAATCGCAAGATATTATTAATTACCTTTAAATTTGAACATGAAATTTTGAATGAAAACCACGCTGGATTACCTTTTGGCGCTCAGGTATTCAACTCGAATGGGAGTTTCGTTCGTCTCAAGAGACGAGTCCGAAGGGTAATCCACAACTGTAGATGGATGTACACATATAGATGGATGTACACAAATTGATGGATGTACACAAAAAAGATGGATGTAAACACATTAAAGGATGTACACAAATTGATAATTGTATATAAATAGATAAATGTACACACATTGATGGGTGTACACAAAATAATGAATGTAAACAAATAGATGGATGTACACAAATTGATGGTTGTAAACACATTACTAGATGTACACAAATTACTAGATGTACACAATATATTGATGTACGCAAATAGATGGATGTTCAAAAATTTGATGGGTGTACACACGTTTAATGGGCCCACACAAATTGATGGATGTACACAAATTGATGGATGTACACAAATTGATGGATGTACACAAATTTGATGGGTGTACACACATTTGATGGGTGTACACAAATAGATGGATGTAAAAAAGGATGGATGTACACACATTGATGAATGTAAACACATTACTAGATGTACACAAATTAATGGATGTACGCAAATTGGTGGGTGTACATGAATAGATGGATGTACACAAATTGATGGATGTACACAAATTGATGGATGTAAACAAATTGATGGATGTACACAAATTGATGGACGTACATAAAAAGATGGATGTACACAAATTGATGGATGTACATACATAGATGGATATACACAAATATATGAATGTGCACATATATCAACGATAAGCAGCATAAGTGTATTTCTAACTATTTAAGAAACCAAATTGTTGAAGGTAGTGGGAGGTCAGGGTAACATTGGTTGAGTGTATCAGTGGGAGGTCAGGGTAACATTGGTTGAGTGTATCAGTGGGAGGTCAGGGTAACATTGGTTGAGTGTATCAGTGGGAGGTCAGGGTAACATTGGTTGAGTGTATCAGTGGGAGGTCAGGGTAACATTGGTTGAGTGTATCAGTGGGAGGTCAGGGTAACATTGGTTGAGTGTACCAGTGGGAGGTCAGGGTAACATTGGTTGAGTGTATCAGTGGGGGGTCAGGGTAACATTGGTTGAGTGTATCAGTGGGAGGTCAGGGTAACATTGGTTGAGTGTATCAGTGGGAGGTCAGGGTAACATTGGTTGAGTGTATCAGTGGGAGGTTAGGGTAACATTGGTTGAGTGTATCAGTGGGAGGTCAGGGTAACATTGGTTGAGTGTATCAGTGGGAGGTCAGGGTAACATTGGTTGAGTGTACCAGTGGGAGGTCAGGGTAACATTGGTTGAGTGTATCATTGGGAGGTCAGGGTAACATTGGTTGAGTGTATCAGTGGGAGGTCAGGGTAACATTGGTTGAGTGTATCAGTGGGAGGTCAGGGTAACATTGGTTGAGTGTATCAGTGGGAGGTCAGGGTAACATTGGTTGAGTGTATCAGTGGGAGGTCAGGGTAACATTGGTTGAGTGTACCAGTGGGAGGTCAGGGTAACATTGGTTGAGTGTATCAGTGGGAGGTCAGGGTAACATTGGTTGAGTGTATCAGTGGGAGGTCAGGGTAACATTGGTTGAGTGTACCAGTGGGAGGTCAGGGTAACATTGGTTGAGTGTATCAGTGGGAGGTCAGGGTAACATTGGTTGAGTGTATCAGTGGGAGGTCAGGGTAACATTGGTTGAGTGTACCAGTGGGAGGTCAGGGTAACATTGGTTGAGTGTATCAGTGGGAGGTCAGGGTAACATTGGTTGAGTGTATCAGTGGGAGGTCAGGGTAACATTGGTTGAGTGTATCAGTGGGAGGTCAGGGTAACATTGGTTGAGTGTATCAGTGGGAGGTCAGGGTAACATTGGTTGAGTGTATCAGTGGGAGGTCAGGGTAACATTGGTTGAGTGTATCAGTGGGAGTTCAGGGTAACATTGGTTGAGTGTATCAGTGGGAGGTCAGGGTAACATTGGTTGAGTGTATCAGTGGGAGGTCAGGGTAACATTGGTTGAGTGTATCAGTGGGAGGTCAGGGTAACATTGGTTGAGTGTATCAGTGGGAGGTTAGGGTAACATTGGTTGAGTGTATCAGTGGGAGGTCAGGGTAACATTGGTTGAGTGTATCAGTGGGAGGTCAGGGTAACATTGGTTGAGTGTATCAGTGGGAGGTCAGGGTAACATTGGTTGAGTGTATCAGTGGGAGGTCAGGGTAACATTGGTTGAGTGTACCAGTGGGAGGTCAGGGTAACATTGGTTGAGTGTACCAGTGGGAGGTCAGGGTAACATTGGTTGAGTGTATCAGTGGGAGGTCAGGGTAACATTGGTTGAGTGTATCAGTGGGAGGTCAGGGTAACATTGGTTGAGTGTATCAGTGGGAGGTCAGGGTAACATTGGTTGAGTGTACCAGTGGGAGGTCAGGGTAACATTGGTTGAGTGTACCAGTGGGAGGTCAGGGTAACATTGGTTGAGTGTATCAGTGGGAGGTCAGGGTAACATTGGTTGAGTGTATCAGTGGGAGGTCAGGGTAACATTGGTTGAGTGTACCAGTGGGAGGTCAGGGTAACATTGGTTGAGTGTATCAGTGGGAGGTCAGGGTAACATTGGTTGAGTGTACCAGTGGGAGGTCAGGGTGACATTGGTTGAGTGTATCAGTGGGAGGTCAGGGTAACATTGGTTGAGTGTATCAGTGGGAGGTCAGGGTAACATTGGTTGAGTGTATCAGTGGGAGGTCAGGGTAACATTGGTTGAGTGTACCAGTGGGAGGTCAGGGTAACATTGGTTGAGTGTACCAGTGGGAGGTCAGGGTAACATTGGTTGAGTGTATCAGTGGGAGGTCAGGGTAACATTGGTTGAGTGTACCAGTGGGAGGTCAGGGTAACATTGGTTGAGTGTATCAGTGGGAGGTCAGGGTAACATTGGTTGAGTGTATCAGTGGGAGGTTAGGGTAACATTGGTTGAGTGTATCAGTGGGAGGTCAGGGTAACATTGGTTGAGTGTATCAGTGGGAGGTCAGGGTAACATTGGTTGAGTGTATCAGTGGGAGGTCAGGGTAACATTGGTTGAGTGTATCAGTGGGAGGTCAGGGTAACATTGGTTGAGTGTATCAGTGGGAGGTCAGGGTAACATTGGTTGAGTGTATCAGTGGGAGGTCAGGGTAACATTGGTTGAGTGTATCAGTGGGAGGTTAGGGTAACATTGGTTGAGTGTATCAGTGGGAGGTTAGGGTAACATTGGTTGAGTGTATCATTGGGAGGTCAGGGTAACATTGGTTGAGTGTATCATTGGGAGGTCAGGGTAACATTGGTTGAGTGTATCAGTGGGAGGTCAGGGTAACATTGGTTGAGTGTATCAGTGGGAGGTTAGGGTAACATTGGTTGAGTGTATCAGTGGGAGGTTAGGGTAACATTGGTTGAGTGTATCAGTGGGAGGTCAGGGTAACATTGGTTGAGTGTATCAGTGGGAGGTTAGGGTAACATTGGTTGAGTGTATCAGTGGGAGGTCAGGGTAACATTGGTTGAGTGTATCAGTGGGAGGTCAGGGTAACATTGGTTGAGTGTATCAGTGGGAGGTCAGGGTAACATTGGTTGAGTGTATCAGTGGGAGGTCAGGGTAACATTGGTTGAGTGTACCAGTGGGAGGTCAGGGTAACATTGGTTGAGTGTATCAGTGGGAGGTCAGGGTAACATTGGTTGAGTGAGGTCAGGGTAACATTGGTTGAGTGTATCAGTGGGAGGTCAGGGTAACATTGGTTGAGTGTATCAGTGGGAGGTCAGGGTAACATTGGTTGAGTGAGGTCAGGGTAACATTGGTTGAGTGTACCAGTGGGAGGTCAGGGTAACATTGGTTGAGTGTATCAGTGGGAGGTCAGGGTAACATTGGTTGAGTGTATCAGTGGGAGTTCAGGGTAACATTGGTTGAGTGTATCAGTGGGAGGTCAGGGTAACATTGGTTGAGTGTATCAGTGGGAGGTCAGGGTAACATTGGTTGAGTGTATCAGTGGGAGGTCAGGGTAACATTGGTTGAGTGTATCAGTGGGAGGTCAGGGTAACATTGGTTGAGTGTATCAGTGGGAGGTCAGGGTAACATTGGTTGAGTGTATCAGTGGGAGGTCAGGGTAACATTGGTTGAGTGTATCAGTGGGAGGTCAGGGTAACATTGGTTGAGTGTATCAGTGGGAGGTCAGGGTAACATTGGTTGAGTGTACCAGTGGGAGGTCAGGGTAACATTGGTTGAGTGTACCAGTGGGAGGTCAGGGTAACATTGGTTGAGTGTATCAGTGGGAGGTCAGGGTAACATTGGTTGAGTGTATCAGTGGGAGGTCAGGGTAACATTGGTTGAGTGTACCAGTGGGAGGTCAGGGTAACATTGGTTGAGTGTATCAGTGGGAGGTCAGGGTAACATTGGTTGAGTGTACCAGTGGGAGGTCAGGGTGACATTGGTTGAGTGTATCAGTGGGAGGTCAGGGTAACATTGGTTGAGTGTATCAGTGGGAGGTCAGGGTAACATTGGTTGAGTGTATCAGTGGGAGGTCAGGGTAACATTGGTTGAGTGTACCAGTGGGAGGTCAGGGTAACATTGGTTGAGTGTACCAGTGGGAGGTCAGGGTAACATTGGTTGAGTGTATCAGTGGGAGGTCAGGGTAACATTGGTTGAGTGTACCAGTGGGAGGTCAGGGTAACATTGGTTGAGTGTATCAGTGGGAGGTCAGGGTAACATTGGTTGAGTGTATCAGTGGGAGGTTAGGGTAACATTGGTTGAGTGTATCAGTGGGAGGTCAGGGTAACATTGGTTGAGTGTATCAGTGGGAGGTCAGGGTAACATTGGTTGAGTGTATCAGTGGGAGGTTAGGGTAACATTGGTTGAGTGTATCAGTGGGAGGTCAGGGTAACATTGGTTGAGTGTATCATTGGGAGGTCAGGGTAACATTGGTTGAGTGTATCAGTGGGAGGTCAGGGTAACATTGGTTGAGTGTATCAGTGGGAGGTTAGGGTAACATTGGTTGAGTGTATCAGTGGGAGGTTAGGGTAACATTGGTTGAGTGTATCATTGGGAGGTCAGGGTAACATTGGTTGAGTGTATCAGTGGGAGGTCAGGGTAACATTGGTTGAGTGTATCAGTGGGAGGTTAGGGTAACATTGGTTGAGTGTATCAGTGGGAGGTTAGGGTAACATTGGTTGAGTGTATCAGTGGGAGGTCAGGGTAACATTGGTTGAGTGTACCAGTGGGAGGTCAGGGTAACATTGGTTGAGTGTATCAGTGGGAGGTCAGGGTAACATTGGTTGAGTGTATCAGTGGGAGGTCAGGGTAACATTGGTTGAGTGTATCAGTGGGAGGTCAGGGTAACATTGGTTGAGTGTATCAGTGGGAGGTTAGGGTAACATTGGTTGAGTGTATCAGTGGGAGGTCAGGGTAACATTGGTTGAGTGTATCAGTGGGAGGTTAGGGTAACATTGGTTGAGTGTATCAGTGGGAGGTCAGGGTAACATTGGTTGAGTGTACCAGTGGGAGGTCAGGGTAACATTGGTTGAGTGTATCAGTGGGAGGTTAGGGTAACATTGGTTGAGTGTATCAGTGGGAGGTCAGGGTAACATTGGTTGAGTGTATCAGTGGGAGGTTAGGGTAACATTGGTTGAGTGTATCAGTGGGAGGTCAGGGTAACATTGGTTGAGTGTACCAGTGGGAGGTCAGGGTAACATTGGTTGAGTGTACCAGTGGGAGGTCAGGGTAACATTGGTTGAGTGTATCAGTGGGAGGTCAGGGTAACATTGGTTGAGTGTATCAGTGGGAGGTCAGGGTAACATTGGTTGAGTGTATCAGTGGGAGGTCAGGGTAACATTGGTTGAGTGTATCAGTGGGAGGTCAGGGTAACATTGGTTGAGTGTATCAGTGGGAGGTCAGGGTAACATTGGTTGAGTGTATCAGTGGGAGGTCAGGGTAACATTGGTTGAGTGTATCAGTGGGAGGTCAGGGTAACATTGGTTGAGTGTACCAGTGGGAGGTCAGGGTAACATTGGTTGAGTGTATCAGTGGGAGGTCAGGGTAACATTGGTTGAGTGTATCAGTGGGAGGTCAGGGTAACATTGGTTGAGTGTATCAGTGGGAGGTCAGGGTAACATTGGTTGAGTGTATCAGTGGGAGGTCAGGGTAACATTGGTTGAGTGTATCAGTGGGAGGTCAGGGTGACATTGGTTGAGTGTATCAGTGGGAGGTCAGGGTAACATTGGTTGAGTGTATCAGTGGGAGGTCAGGGTAACATTGGTTGAGTGTATCAGTGGGAGGTCAGGGTAACATTGGTTGAGTGTATCAGTGGGAGGTCAGGGTAACATTGGTTGAGTGTATCAGTGGGAGGTCAGGGTAACATTGGTTGAGTGTATCAGTGGGAGGTCAGGGTAACATTGGTTGAGTGTATCAGTGGGAGGTCAGGGTAACATTGGTTGAGTGTACCAGTGGGAGGTCAGGGTGACATTGGTTGAGTGTATCAGTGGGAGGTCAGGGTAACATTGGTTGAGTGTATCAGTGGGAGGTCAGGGTGACATTGGTTGAGTGTATCAGTGGGAGGTCAGGGTAACATTGGTTGAGTGTATCAGTGGGAGGTCAGGGTAACATTGGTTGAGTGTATCAGTGGGAGGTCAGGGTAACATTGGTTGAGTGTATCAGTGGGAGGTCAGGGTAACATTGGTTGAGTGTATCAGTGGGAGGTCAGGGTAACATTGGTTGAGTGTATCAGTGGGAGGTCAGGGTAACATTGGTTGAGTGTATCAGTGGGAGGTCAGGGTAACATTGGTTGAGTGTATCAGTGGGAGGTCAGGGTAACATTGGTTGAGTGTATCAGTGGGAGGTCAGGGTAACATTGGTTGAGTGTACCAGTGGGAGGTCAGGGTAACATTGGTTGAGTGTATCAGTGGGAGGTCAGGGTAACATTGGTTGAGTGTATCAGTGGGAGGTCAGGGTAACATTGGTTGAGTGTATCAGTGGGAGGTCAGGGTAACATTGGTTGAGTGTATCAGTGGGAGGTCAGGGTAACATTGGTTGAGTGTATCAGTGGGAGGTCAGGGTAACATTGGTTGAGTGTACCAGTGGGAGGTCAGGGTAACATTGGTTGAGTGTATCATTGGGAGGTCAGGGTAACATTGGTTGAGTGTATCAGTGGGAGGTTAGGGTAACATTGGTTGAGTGTATCAGTGGGAGGTCAGGGTAACATTGGTTGAGTGTATCAGTGGGAGGTCAGGGTAACATTGGTTGAGTGTATCAGTGGGAGGTCAGGGTAACATTGGTTGAGTGTATCAGTGGGAGGTCAGGGTAACATTGGTTGAGTGTATCAGCGACCTTGCGGATAATATTAAAATCACCTGGTGTAAAATCTTATCTTGTATATTTTAAAAATATATTTAAAAACCAACTTAACTCGTCTAAGAACAATCAAAGTTTTTTCATGCATGTTTTTGGAGGGGTACGGGAGGGCTGGGGTGGGGTGACGTGGAGTTGGAGGGGGCGGGGGGGGTGGCACACTGTCCCATGGAGGACGTCCTAAAGTTGTGTTTTCTAAATCTTTTTATTTGCATCAGTTGTGCGTCAATAAAATGCACAGGCGTAGCGGCCCTTCCCGGCGCCCGGGGACAAACTTTCGATTTGCACCCCCCTCCCCATCGGACTTTGATTTGCACCCCCCCCACTCAAACTTTCACTTTGTTTTTCCAACCCATTTTGGCGCCCCCCCCCCCCCTAAGGTCGGCGCCCGGGAACATATGTCCCCCCGCCCCCCCCCCCCTCCCCTCGCTACGCCTCTGATAAAATGCGTTCAAATTGAGGTGAACGCGCAGCTACGAATAAAATTCGCTAAAATGAGTTTTACACTTTATAGAATAGTTATGCCATGTTTATTTACATTATAGTAATTCAATAAAAAAAAATTGTTTTAGACTTTTTTGCTAAATTAAGAAAATTACTAAAAACTTTAAATACATATACTTTAGACCGACAAAAACCTCACAGTAAAGTTTTTATAACCACATTGTTTTTAACAACGACGCGTATGATTAAAAAACATATACATAATGGACCTTTCGAGACTATTCTCATTGTTGTCCCCTATTATTGCAAGTTTTAACATGACTTACTTCTGTACCGGGTTTCGCTATCATCGATCTCTTCGCCAAGCTCGTCATTTCGTATTCTCCCAATGGTGTTTAAAATCCACCACCTGATCCGCTGATATCCGTTTACCAGACGCCACAAATTAGTGTGGTTTGGTAATCTTTCAATCTGGTTATCCCGTGAGCTAGCCATGTTTGTTACTTAGCGGAAGTGATGGTATCTCTAGTTGCGTTCATTTAGAAAGTATTAACGTAAGCAAAACAAGAATTAATTGGGAATTACCGATTTTGCACACTAAGCAGGGTCAGAAGAGAGGGGATGAAGTGATGGGGGAGTAGTGAGGGGGGGGGGGGGTAACAATTGTTCCATCTCTTCCTTTCTTTCTCTCTCTTTCTCGTTCTCTCTTTCTGTTTCTAGTTCTCTCTCTGTCGATCTCATTCGTTCTCTCTCTTTCTCTCTCTCTCTCTCTATCTTTCTCTTTCTCGTTCTCTCATACGCTTTGGCTTTTGAAAAACTAAAAGCAGAATAAGTTAAACTACCGGTTATCGGAAATCGCTGAAAAGTTGATACAGAACTACAAATTTGATATAATACTTATGTATGAAATTTTATCAACCTAGCTGTAACGGTATTCAAGCTATCGTGTTACTAACATACACACAAAAACACACACACAGATAAAATTGCGAAACTATGTTTTTCCGACTCAAAGAGGTGTAAAACGTTAAGATTTGTGAAAATCTCGATTTCGATTTTGAGCACGATTACAATCCTTCCTCTACAATTCTTATACGAGAAAGTAAAAATCGCACCAAAATATGACATGGCCAGAAATAATAGTTTTTAAAAAAACATCTTGATCTCGTTTATACTAGCTTAAAACTGTTAAAAGAGGATCGTGATATCGGCATGCCGATCAAAAGTATTTCAACACGGAGGTTTTGTATGTTTCCGGGGTTTTGTTTTATTATTATGTGTTATTGTTTTGCAATAATAAAAATAATTTCTTAATTCACTCCTTTTTATATCTGTGTTGTACAGTAGTATGTCTTATTTGACTGATGAGTGAAAGGAGTGTAACACATACCAGTGGCGTAGCGAGGTCGGGTGTCACCCGGTGCGGCACTTAATGGTGTCACCCCCCAGAGGCGTAGCGACCCTTCCCGGGGACAAACTTTCAAGTTTTCGATTTGCCCCCCCCCCCCTTCGAGTTTTCGATTTGCACCCCCCCCCCTCCCCTCAAACTTTCGATTTGCTACCCCCCCCCCCCACTCAAGTTTATCTCTATATATTTTGCTATTTTTTGCCTTGGTGTCACCCCCCTAAATGGTGTCACCCGGTGCGGTCTGCACCCCCCGCCCCCCCCCCCTCGCTACGCCCCTGACACATACCATGGTTACCAATCAGGGGGGATAACTTTTAATTTATTTGGATGTGGGACCGCAACAGTTGATGTATTTTTTTATACTCTTCTGTGGGCGATGTTCCCCGTGTTCCCATGTCATGTGACCTCTGGGACTCTGGGCGGTTGTAACTGTGTGTGTCAGCGGCATTCACACCCCAGGCTGCTAATGACCAGGGACGGTGCCGTTGCTTAGGTTAACTTGGTTATGTAGACCTAATGAAGGTAATGCACATTATATTTTAGATTACTTTTTATATTTTATCATACTAGTGCCGCAGGTTGCGGACTAGGTATGTGAAGTATTTTATTTATATTAAACTTGTGTATTATTCCTACTAGTGCTGCATGTTGAGGACTAGTTAGGTGAAGTATTTATAAATGCTAATACTTGTTGGCAGTATTGTATACTGGCTGTGAACCTTCTATTTTATGACACCAGTGTATTCATGTTATAGCCTAAACGTAGTGGTGTATTTTGAAATGTAACCTATTGTTGTTTACATTTGTTTGAGGGCTATATGCCGTTTATGGCTTTGATGTTCAGGAACTAGCCTTATACGGATTTGCAAATAAAGCCAGCATCTAACAATAAAAGCGTCATTTCATCATGTGTTATCTCTCAGGGTCAGCCCTTTTAAACACAGCACCTCAGTGGGTGACATAATCCCTACTGTGGCAGTGTTACAATACAAATTGATTAGTAAAACAGTATTTTTTTAACATGAACTTTCTGTATTCAAAATAAAATATGGCGCCAAATAAAGTATGGTTTACAGTACTCCCGGTGGATTCCGGAACGGCATGATAGACTACGTCGTTATTTTACTGGGGTTTTTTAATAACCGACGCTATACTGGGGGGATTTCCAACACTTTTAAATTTATACCAAACGTTCTTGTTAATCTTTGCACTGATTGTAAATAAAAACGAAGAAATGTCTTAAGATTAACTCCAACCTTTCAACTAACTCTGTTGCGACTTTTTTTTCCCTTTGACACTCAGCGTATTATTAACATGTTAAAAATAAATCTTATCTACTCGATAATTTAAAGGTAAATATTTTGGATGTAACTAAATCTAATTATAACACATATAGAAACGAAATGTAATCAGAAAATAATACTAATAAAGTAATTAGTCAATGCCGAAACAAATAATACGGTAGTGAAAATTACTATACAAAGAACTTATGAATAAAAGTAACGAATAAAGTAATAAAACTATCATTAATGAATGCATTTTATTTTTTCCCACGCTAACCAATATTTCCGATGACTACCTTAATATGACACAACCACGCGCGCACACACACACACACACACGAACACACACACACACGCACACACACACACACACACACAAATGTAATTTGCTTTTTACAATAAAACATCGGTTGTATATACTCTATGTTGGATCAATACAGGAGTGATAATTTATCAAACCAACATAACTAAGAATAGACTAAAATAAATAATTTATTCTATTCTGTTTCAATGTTATATATTTTTTTTCAAAACAAAATTGGCATGCTAGATGTAAAAATATATAAATAAATAAACTGATTAGTGCTCATAACATATAGCATTTAATTATTCTTAACAAATATATATATATATTGTAATAAAGAATGAAGATGATAAAAATGATATCAAATCCCCATAAAAACCATCATATTCAAGCAGGCTACAAACATAGACGGAAGAAACGCACATCAAAAACATTCGGTGAAAGCATAATCATTACTTTTATTTATTTATTTTTTTGATGACGAGAATCAAGATGGAGAATTAAGATGGACATCTCCAAAACTTTACCAGTGGCCAGCTAAATGTTAGGCCAAACGTCTAAATATTTTCACCAGAGACCGGTTCACACGTCTCTACATCAGTTGAGGCAAGTGGGCTGTCAATTTCCTTGGTGGCGCAAGGTTTTTTCATGGCTTTGCCGATAGTAATCTCCATATAGCCTGCCTACAATTTGTGGAAACTTATCGTTAAAAGTCTTACCCGGATCACAGAGTAGTGATATATATTTTAAAGTTAAGAATACTCTTTAAATTGGGCAGGTGAAGTAGATTTCTTGACTCGCCATAATATGATGGGGAAGTTCAACACTTTCCCAAGCGGCTTTACTTTCCCTAACATAAGTTAGGTACCCATTAGAGCTGGGTGGACACGGGAACGTTCTATTGACGTGAACTCGGATTCGAACTTGCTCTACCGCTTAGGCCACGCCGTCCCATTCTAGGGTCAGTAGTTAAAGGATATATATATATATATATATATATATATATATATATATATATATATATATATATATATATATATATATATATATATAGTAACTCACTGAGAATAAAGGAATACATGTATTAGCTTTAGATTCAGTAGTTAAAGGAAAAAGATGTAGTAACTAAGTAAAGTCAATAGTTAAAGGAATAGATGTAGTCACTTACTACAATAGTGCGATGAACATCTCTAAAACTTGTTTTCCAGTGTCCTCTGCCTTTCTTGGCCCGATATTTCACAGAATCTGTTGCTAGCCCATCTAACATTGCTCGAAGACTTTCACCCTTCTCTTTACATTCCTACAACAAAAACAAATAACATAAAGCAATGATTAAAAAAATTACTAAAGCCCTACAACTCTCTAGTTGGCCAGAATAAAAAACTACCTTAACAGAACCTCCAGCCAGCTGATAAAGCATGACGATCGTCTCCCCAGCTGTGATGCGCAGCTCTTCGTCTGAACTCTTCAGTAACTCCTTCAGAGAACCCACGTATTTTAGCGTCATCATCTTTTCCCGTTCGTGCACACAACACAAGGAGTAGATGAAGTAGAGTTTGTCTCTACCATTTTTGCAGATACTTCGGCATATGAAGGGATAGTGTGGTCAGCACTATACCCAGCCGCCTTTGCTTTCCCTAACGGAGCTGTAGTGGACTCAGTGTCAATCTATTGACTTGAACCCTGAGACTTTCCGGATGGCAGTATAGCTCTCTACGGCTTCGCCAGGGCCCGCGCTACCTATAAGGCAAACTAGGCGGTCGCCTAGGGCGCCATTCCTAGGGGGGGGGGGGCGCAAAACGTTTAATCGCTATTATCAAAAAAGTACCTAATAATTAATAACTTTTATAAAGGAGTAGCGATATATTCGTAGAACCCAGGACGAACTATCAATTTTGCATCCCCACCCCAAAATTAGGTCTATATAGGCCTATAGTTATTCCCGATGGTGAAAATGCAACCCTACATCCCTAATTTGGAAAAGTCGGGGCGCTTTTTACCAGTCACTTTGCCTTTTTAATTTGGTGTCGCATAATTGATGTAGAAAACGATTAAATAAGTTCGTTATTTAAATTTCGAACATTTCAAACGGTTATTAAATTTTAATATGGCTTGTAAGTCTCGTTTTCTCTGACTTTGAATTAGAAATCTGTCTTGGTGTACAGAGTTTTGTAATGATGGGGTGTTCAAAGTATTGTACTTGTTTGGTAAGTTTTGATGAATCGTTTAGATTTGGGAGTAACGGCGGAAGGCTGTTGCTGATATGGTTTCGTAGGTATAACGTATCGAAGAGTTAAAGTGTCATAATTTTTATTCGGCTGTTTTATAGTTTAAGATCTAGTGGAATCTGATTGGTAATAGAGAAATGAGAATGCAGGCGATGTAGTATCGTAGTTCTGGGGTTAGGGAGTATTGATTCTTGTGGTATTAAGGTATCGAATTATATTGAGTTTTAAAGTGTAGTAGTAGGTCCAGTGAAATCGTTGTTGATTGGGAGTACCGTTTGTAGAGCTTGGTTAAGTTAAA